TTACTGCAAGCTTAACACCTAGAATACTGACTGAACTAGAGCTCAGATGTATAAAGTCGACAATTTTTACGATATAAATTATGTAGAAATCAATGATTAGTAAGGTGAAATCCAACTGTAATATAGACAAAAGAAAAATTCATCTATTTAGTCTGAATATTTTATACAACATGAAAATATCATCAAGTATTTTAATCAAAGTTTGATAATAACTGAAATAGGAATCCCAATTATGCATTTTGTCTTATTTGAGGTTTGTCAGCTGAATGTATTTGTATCTCATTATTGATAGTCATTACAATGAGTTCCTGAGATACAAATACATCAGACTGACAAGTTCTGAATAGATTGAAATAAATGGTTGATAGTCCACTTACTTCTAGCTGTTATCCACCTTTGGTCGAGTGAGAGCTTATGGCGATCTGTCATCGGAATTCTTTACGTCAAGTGATCTCTGTGGTCCACTGTTCACTCTCTCTCCATTCTTGTTTAACTTTGTGGTAAATATGCTTTTAGAGTTAACATTATCTTCATCTAACTTTTTATTAGTGGTTCTTCTACCAGGAGAAATGCTTGCTGACTAAGAGTATGCTGATGATATAGTCCTATTCAGTGAAGACGCTGACAAGATGCAGAGTCATCTGACTACCCTCAACAACAATGCAAGCATGTTCGGGAAGCGATTTTCCCACTCGAAATGCAAAATGTTGCTTCAAGATTGGCTTGTATCGGTACCTGAACTAGTGATAAGGAATGAAGTAGTCGAACGTGTCGATCGCTTCACCTATCTCAGGACTCGCCCCAGTGCTGATGGTCTGGTGACTGACGAAATCTCGGCACGGATACAGAAAGCTCGACCGGGTTTTGCCAACAGTGTCACTTATGGCATAGGCGAGATACTTGCTTACTAACCAAAGGACAAGTCTACTGCGCAGCAGTTCGCTCTGTCCTACTATACGGATGCGAAACATGGACGTTAAGATTAGAAGTCATTCATCGGTTATTAGTATTCGATTATTGATTTCTTCGAGGCATTGCTCGTGTATCGTGGGACAACCGAGGAGGCACTGCAGTCGTTAGGAAACGGATACGAGGTAAGGATGGCAGATCAGTTGATAAAGTAGTGAATCGTCATCAGTCGGGGTGGCTGTGACATGTGTAACGTATGCCTAACCACCGACTGTCTCGTCGAGCGATGTTTTGTGGTGTATGAGTAGGTTGTAAGAAAGCCAGGGGCGGCCTAGTTAAAACATGGCACAAATCCCTGGAATCATTGACAAGTGAACTGTGTCATGTTGGTAGATGTCGAGTACCTGGTTGGGGTCCACGAGATGATAGTAATTGATGGTTAGAAACCTTGAATGACATGACTCGAAATCGTTTGCAATGGCGCAAGTGCATTCATTCATTTTGTTCTCTCTAATTCTAATCATCTGAATTCCTCATATTCTCTGTCCTTCTGCTTTTAAATTTATTTCACTGAATTATACTTCTCGAATCATATCTTCGCTCCCTAATCTTTTCAATTACTGCTAATACTTCTACTATCCCTACCACTATTGTAATTGAACTGACAGTTGCCTCTATGTGCTAATGCTGTATGGCAACCTGAACCGATGTACTCATGTACAAATTTCTACGTTGTAACTGACTGACTAATTAATTATCCATCTTTACTAAAATACTAGTGAATATTTGACAATCATTAGGAAACCCTCATAAGAACCACATATGCCGATCATTTGTATTCACTGATAAACCATGGACCGATTTGAGTAAGATAACCATTGAAAACTTAAAGGCACTGATTAACCACTTTATTCTAGTGCTCATCCACGACAGTAACATTTGTATACATGTCAGAAAATATCAAATAAATTTAAACAGTTCATGAGTTAGTAGTGATCACAATGAAATAGATTATATAACTAAATCTGAAAGAAGCGCAGGAGTTGGTGGATAGGATACACATTGAGGAAAGCGCCCAATTGAGAGTCACAAGACAAATCTTTACTTCAAAACCCTTAAGGTCAGAGGAAAAGAGGAAGGCCGAGATACACACATATTACATCGGGAAATAGCGATAGACATGAGAAGAATGAACAAAAATTTGGACAGAGCTGGAAGTTGTATGGAGAACACTAGTCGGAGGCCAATGTTCAACAGGGTGTATGTAATAGGCGTAAGTAAGTAACTAACTAAATCTGATAAGTGAGAAATACCGATTGATAGTACGTAGACCGGCTTGGTAGTAGTGATTAGAATAATAAAATTGCGTAAGTCAATATATTTTATGTTAGAAAGTATGTCACTGACATGAACAAAATATAGTCTCTGTAAGTAGCGGGAGTCTTGGATGTGTACTACTGATGAGCCTCATACTAGAACAAAACAGCCGTCTAGTGCTGGTCTAACAGTATAATCAGTGCATGATTTCAAAAAGCGACTCAACAATCATCACAACCCTATCATGCATATTATTATGTGTTCACTTGTAGACTAGCTTCATAAGGAAGTTTCTACAAGTTCAAGTGAGAAGCTGTGACCAGTGGAGTTCAACTCTGTTCGATAATGAAGCAATGCTCACTGAAGACAATGGATTGATCGATGTTAGACATTATCAAAATTCAATACCAACCAGCTTAGTGGTTCAGAGGTTAAGTGCTCACATGGAAGACTGAACCATGTTTTTGGTTCCATTCCTACGGGTAGTAAGAGTCGTGGATGCGAACTGGTGATGAGTTTCTGTTGTAACGCTGCTACGTATAGCTATTCAGTCTTAGCGGCGACCAATTCAAATATCCCAATATGACCCAAATACTATTTCTAAATCTCCTAAATATGAGAACGCAACACCGTTGGATGGAGTTGTTTATTGGGTCGAGTACAGAAGAGAGGTAGACAGGAAAAAACGGAATCGGAATCCGAATCATGAAGTCTTACAGATAGTGCGTATTTATACATTAAGGTCGAATAGTAAAGAGCATCAAAGTCTGTGACATTGACAGTTTAGGACGACCAATAGGAAAGAACATTTGAAATGACATTGACAGTCCGGAAGACCAATCAGAGACAACATTGAAGTGTATTTGACTTTGACAGTTAAAACGACCATAATTTTGACCAATAGAAATCGACCAATAGGATTATACTTCTAAAAATAGTACTCTTAGGATATTTGGTAAATATCCTAACAGTTTCATACCAATACGAAACGATGTTCAAGTGCTTCCAGGTTCCTAATACTCGTTTGACATTGATCGATTCATACTGAGTTCAAACTGAGAAAGAAAAACAAACAAACTACTTGAAATTACTTGTTTAAATAATCTGATTAAAAATTGAACTATTTCATTTTTTTTTATATAACAAAAAACAATTATATTGAACATAATTATATATTTCTTTCGATTAAGTGCTTGAATAACCGATGTTTCTTGTTTTATGATCTTAAAATATAATAATCTTTATGAGTTTTATAAAATAGGTCAATTAAGTAAGTAAGTAAGTATCTTAAATGTCAGCAGAGTAATAAGAAAAAATATTCCATGAAAAATAGAAGATATATACATATATATAAGTATTTATTTAATCCGATCAATTGATGTTAAGATTATTGAAAAAAATAAAAATTATGTTTAATAAAATTAATCATGTTAAGGACATATTTTAGTTTTTACACATTTGAAATCATCAATCAATCATTGTTACACAGACCACCATTAGAAACCTGGAAGCACTGAAAGACGGCCGTTTCGTCCCAATGTATGGGACTCATCAGCAGTGCGCATCCACGACTCCTGCTCCTCGCAGGATTCGAACCCAGGACCTTTGGCATTGTAGGCGAACGCCTTACCATCGGACCACTGGGCCGGCCAGCATCCAACGGTGTTAATGTCTAACTCTGATTGATCTAGGGATTTTTGCGCGACCTCACCGATTTGTCTTTGGTAGTTACTGCCTACACCCGACAGGGTTGAACTCCACTGATCACGTCTTCTCAGAGTTCTAGTTGAGTCGTGAATGCGCACTGCTGAGGAGTCCCATACTAGGACGAAACGGCCGTCCAGTGCTTCCAGGTCTCTAATGGTGGTCTTAAAATGATTGATTGATGATTTAAAATGTGTAAAAACGCAAACCTCCGAAATTGTGCCCCTAAAAATGATTTTTGTTTACCAAATAAAAGAATTTCACTGTACCGTAATAAGTAATATATATATATATTAGCGAAAATCTAACTTGAGAAAATAAGTAATATTCTTAATGAATGGATTCTGTTGCGATTAGATAAATGTTTATGATGAGGGGGTTCGTTCTGTGAGCTGGATGTCTTTATTATGGAGTGTTTGGGATGTTAGATCCCCAGAACTTATTTGGAAAAAGTCTTAATTTCGGGTTTTTGTGTGTTTTCGCGCACAAGTTGTTTAGTTGACCTTCAGATTACATTTTCTACTTGGAAAATCTTTGACTGTCATTGGTTGGTGTGTTATATTAGTACGCTAGTTTGGGGCTCTCCCATGGACGTTTCTGCCATGTATAAATAAAGTGGATTTGTGTTTTTGTCAACCCCATATTTTCTGGGTTGTGTTTGTAGAATACAGTTTCTACTCCTTATCAAGACTTCTTGATTTGGTTAGCCGAATAGAGGACAACGGATTAGAATAGCTTATCGTGTCACTGAGTCATTACCCTCGTCACATTTACCGACTAAGGTTGTGGTGGCCAATTTCTAAGTGTTCTTAGTTGTCGTAATTAGCTCGTTCAGACAATCGTTACTAAATAGCGTCTGACTGTTTATAAATCAGAAGGTAAACTCGAAGTGTTGAATACGTTTATTTTGGTACACCACAAATAGGGATAGCAGACCACAAGCACACCGGGCAGGCACACTAGCGAGTGAATGGGCGAATGTGCGAAAGAGATTAAAATGTTCGTATCTATACATAGGAAAATTTCTGAGTCGTCGTGATATTTAAGAGATCAATATTAAAGCGAATAGGATGGCATATCCGCGTAGGCGGTAAGCAATGCTCAGTCATACTGTAGTGAACGAGAACACAGATGGGGCAACCGAATTGTATTTAATGAAAATTACAGTTACTCAGTAAAATAAGAAAACCATATCGTAGATTTTTTTTTGTAAAATATCAGTTCATCAATCCATCGAACTGGACTGTTCCTGTTTCAAAACATCAATCCATTGTCACTATTCATGCGTTTCATACAAATTCCATTGTGTTCTTCTAACTCTTCCTTTCTTGATCTTCCCCCATATTCTGCTGCCAGACTGATATGTTCGGCACTTAGTAGTATGCTTGATGCTATTACGAGTTTACCTTAGTCGATAAACGCGAACGATACTTTTACCAGCTTCCAGGAAGGCTACCTTGCATCCAAACGGTAAAACAGAAGTCTTGGTAAGCGTAGAAAGTATATTCTACAAGCACCCAGCAATCCAGTACAATCAAGCATACAACTCTCGTTTATTTATACAACATAACAACGTCCTTGAGACAGTTAAGAAAATAGCATACTAAAATACACTGTAGCCAATCACAGCCATTGATTTTGCTGGTGGGAATTGAAATCTCAAGGTCATTTGATCAGCCCCTGCTGGCGAAACGTAAAAACCAAAATACGGCATTATCATGCGAATTTTGGGGATCTAACATCCCCAACACTCCTCCCCTTTTTAATAGCTTGTTCTCCTGGGGTCGACTTGCATCCTGACTATTGTTCGCCGCTGTCTGAGGGGATACCTTCGGGAACGAAGAACAGCTGGCTGCTGAGTTTCTTCTCGTGGTTGGGCTCTCGGTAGGTTGAAGGTATCAAGCAAGATGTCAAGGGGAAGGCTTTCTGCTCTTGATGGGCGATCTGGGGCTAGCCGTCTGCGTATCTGATTGCGATGACGTGACCATTTATCACCTCCTACCTCTACTTCGTACATAACTCGACCAACCCTTCTGACCACTCTCGCTTCTACCCAAGGACCATGGTTCGTTCTGTAGTCGCGGGCAAACACAGGGCATCCCACCTCGTAAGCGGATTGTCTTTGCTGCTTTGTCTCTACTGATGAGGGTGCATTGGTCGGATGCATCAGGCTGTGAATCGTTTTCAATCTTCTTCCCATCAGGATTTCAGCTGGGGACTTTTGCTCCGGTAACAATTCATTTGGTGTTGTCCGATAGACGTACAAGAAATTTTGTAACGTTTCGGCTGGCGTCCCCTCCCCTTTTGACTTGAGCAGTGCTCTTTTAAACGTATCCACAAACCTTTCCGCCTGCCCATTCGATTGCGGGTGGTATGGTGGCGAGCGTAAGTGTTTAATAGCTAGCCGTTGACAGAAATTCTGGAATTGGGCAGAGGTGAATTGAGAGCCATTGTCGGATACGATCACATCTGGTATGCCATTTCGTGAGAAAATTTCAGTTAGGAGCTGTATAGTCTTAGTTGTAGTGGGCGGCGTAACGGGGCTGATTTCCGGCCATTTAGAAAAGGCGTCGACGACAATTAAATACATAGTTCCATTTATTGGGCCAGCGAAGTCGACATGTATCCTGGACCAAGGATGCTCAGGTTTGGGCCATGAAACCGGCGGAATTTTGGCATTCATCTTTGCCGCCTGCTGACACCGGATGCATTTTTCAACCAACGCTGTGACATGTTGATCCATGTGAGGCCAGTATGCATAACTCCTGGCTATGGACTTCATTCGTTTAATCCCAGGATGACCAAGATGGAACTGTCTCAGCACTTTTGCACGAAGGGATGCTGGAACCACTACTCTTTCACCAAACATGAGACAATCGTTCACGATGCATAGTGAATTCCGCCGCTGATACAGTTGCTTGATGTCACCTTCAAACTTTTTCGACGGCCAACCTTTAGTGACATATTTCATCGTCATCTTGATGATGGGGTCGTTTCTAGAAGCATTTTGTATGTCTGTTGCAGACACCGGTAATGCGCGAACTGCGGTTGTCAGATAACATTCTGCGTGGTCTTCTACTGACAGAGATGCGATCACCATGTTTTCCTCAGCCGCCACTTGATCATTAATGAGTCGTGACAAAGCGTCTGCTTGACCGAATTGTAGAGTGCGTCGATATTGGATTTCGAAATCATACCCCAAAAGTACCAAGGCCCATCGCTGAAGACGATTTGCAGAATGGGCTGGAATGCCAGACTTTGAACCAAATATTGCTAACAGAGGCTTGTGATCTGTGAGGAGCGTGAATCTCCGACCGTACAGAAACTTATGGAAACGGCGAACAGCAAACACAAGGGCAAGAGCTTCTTTCTCTATCTGGCTATACTTCTTTTCTGCTGGGGTCAGTGTACGGGATGCATGCATAACGGCTTTTTCCGACGCGTCTGGAAATCGATGTGAAATAACAGCGCCTAGGCCATATGCTGAAGCGTCTGCTGCTACGATGATCGGCATGGATGGATCGTAGTGTGTTAATAACAATTCCGAGCTAATTATAGACTTGAGTTTACCAAAAGCTGCGTCACACTCTTTAGTCCAGTTCCATGTGCTATGCTTCTGCAGTAGACAATTCAATGGAGCGCGAATATCATGCATCGAGGGAACAAAAGCTGAATAATAACTGATTAAACCGAGAAAAGATCGTAATTCGGAAACATTAGTGGGAGTAGGCATCAGTTTGATAGCTCGGATGTTTTCAGGATCCGGTCTGCGACCGTCGGCATCAAAGATAAATCCCAAATACTTTACCGACTGCAATAGAAACTGGCATTTTTCTGGGCGTAACCGGAAACCATTGTCACTGATGCGTTGTAGTACCAATGTCGTGCGTTCCCGTAGCTGTTCTAACGTCTTCGCAACAATCAAGATATCATCGAGATAAGCTGCAACCCCTGAGATATCTGACAGGATAGTATCCATTAGTTGTTGGAAGATAGATGGGGCAGTCTTAACTCCAAAAGGTAGACGGTTATACTGAAACAAACCGCGATGAGTGTTGATAGTAAGCAGCTCTTTAGATGCTTCATCGACTTCCACTTGCAAATAAGCATCAGCTAGGTCAAGCTTTGCGAAGAACTTTCCCCCATTCAGCATAGTGAACAGATCTGCCGGGACTGGCAGAGGATAATGATGCTGTTCTAGAGCTGCGTTGAGACCTGTAGAGAAGTCAGCACATATACGTATCGTGCCGTTGGCCTTCTTGATAACGACTATAGGTGCTGCCCAACTGGAGTAAGAAACGGGAGTAATAACTCCTTGTCGTTGAAGGCGATCCAGCTCTTCATCTACTGTTGCTAATGTAGCATACGGTACAGGTCTCTTTGGACGAAAAGCAGGCTTAGCCCCATGTTTCAACCGAAGTGTTGCTTTCATAGCAGTGCACCGACCTAATCCAGGTTCAAAAATGGTTGAAAACTCTGTCATCAGCTTCTTCGTATACGCTTCTGGGTCATGTCGTTGTGATACCAGGTTGCATATGGTATTTAGCGGGACATCAGCCAATTTTAGCTGGTCGAACCAATCTAAACCAAGTAAATTTAGATCAGCTGGCGTTATATAGCATACCCCAGTAAACGACGAATCTCGGAAAGCAACTTTACATTCCAATTGTCCTAACAGACGAAGATAATTACCACATGCTGTGCGAGGCTTTTGTGTTGTGTGCTGCAGGCTTGGGCTGCCCAACTTGGTCCAATTTTTGCGTGAGAGGATAGTGACATCAGATGCAGTATCTATTTGCATTCTACACAAATAACCGTTAATATTAAGAGTAATAAATTTCCTCTCACCTGGTGATGAGCTTTGGCAGGAAGATATTAGGCTCAATGCATTGGTACTGGATCTAGGAACCGGCTTCTTAGCACTTCTGGATCGCTTTGGCTTTTTCTGTAGGCAAAAGCCATCTTTATGACCGATGACTTTACACTTCCTGCATCTATGCTGCCTAAATGGGCAGTTCCGTACATAGTGCCATGAACCGCAGTGCCAGCAAGCAGAAGGTGGATTCATTTTGGGTTTTTGGGCCGAATTGGAGCGGGGTGAACTGGGTGTAGCATGGGCAGACTTATAATGATTAGGTGGCTGCTGTACCAAATGAATTTCAGATCGGCTTGAACTACCACTCTGAACTATAGTCGAGTCTCGTTGTAGGTTAGTGAGACGTTGGTACTCATGAGCCATATCATTAAGCGTAAGCTTTGGATCTTGCTCCAACCGACTTAGTAGCCTTGTTCTAATGTCACTGAACTTACTCGACTGGAGGCTGCAGATGAGAATGAGGGCTTTGAACTGGTCTTCCGACAAAGACTTCAACCGAAAGCGTTCGCATTCACGGTTGACGATGCCCACGTGCGTAAGAAAATCATCATCTTCGTTCATAATAAGCTTCAAACATCGATAACGAGTATTAAATAGTGACGAGTTGTCTCCAAAGTGTTGGCTTAAAGTCTGAACAGTCTCAGAAAACGAACGATCTCGTGGGTTCAAATTCATTTGTTTCCTTAACAGCTCCAACATACGTTCCTGGAACTGTTCATATCGTTTACCTTGACGATCCAGTAAAGATTCTAACTGTTCAAGGTTAATTGACATTGTGAATTGTGAGCCCCGTCGCCACTGATATGTTCGGCACTTAGTAGTATGCTTGATGCTATTACGAGTTTACCTTAGTCGATAAACGCGAACGATACTTTTACCAGCTTCCAGGAAGGCTACCTTGCATCCAAACGGTAAAACAGAAGTCTTGGTAAGCGTAGAAAGTATATTCTACAAGCACCCAGCAATCCCAGTACAATCAAGCATACAACTCTCGTTTATTTATACAACATAACAACGTCCTTGAGACAGTTAAGAAAATAGCATACTAAAATACACTGTAGCCAATCACAGCCATTGATTTTGCTGGTGGGAATTGAAATCTCAAGGTCATTTGATCAGCCCCTGCTGGCGAAACGTAAAAACCAAAATACGGCATTATCATGCGAATTTTGGGGATCTAACATCCCCAACACAGACATTACGTTGACACACATCATATACTACTTATAAGTAGCTCACACCACACTACTACTGTGGTGCTGTGGTGCGAACTACTTATAAGTAGTATATGATGTGAGTGTCAACGTAATGTCTGGCAGCAGAATATGGGGGAAGATCAAGAAAGGAAGAGTTAGAAAACAATCGAATTCGTATGGAACGCATGAATAGTGAATGACAATGGATTGATGTTGTTTGCAACAGGAACAGTCCAGTTCGATATGATGATGGACTGATATTTTGCAAATGAACGATTTACGATATGGTTTTCCGATTTTACTGAGTAACTCTGTAATTTCCGCTTAAATACAATTCGGTTGCCCAACCTGTGTTCTCGTTCAATACAGTACTATGCTTTACATACTGAAAAAATTCCAGTTGTAACAATTGAAACTATAGGAAATTGGGTTGAATGGATCGACAGTTGATGAAACAGTATTATATGCGACCAGATTCCAGTAGAACCAAATCACACTTGATGGAGATGCTTTGGAAGACGTTGACACCTTTACATATCTGGGCAGCATCATCGACGAGAAAGGTGGATCGGATGCAGATGTGAGGGCACGGATCGGCAAAACAAGGGCTGCATTTCTACAGTTGAAAAATATCTTCAACTCCAAACAAATATCAATCAACACAAAAATCAGGATTTTCAATACAAATGTCAAGACAGTTCTACTGTATGGAGCGGTAACTTTTAGAACTACCAAAGCCATCATCCACAAGATGCAACTGTTTATTAACAGTTGTCTACGCAAAATACTTCGTATTCGTCGGCCAGACACCATCAGCAACAACGAACTGTGGGAGAGAACAAACCAGATTCCAATGGAGGAGGAAATCAGGAAGAAGTGGTGGAAGTAGATAGGACACACACTACGAAAAGCACCTAACCGCGTCGAAAGACAAGCCCTCACATGGAACCCTCAAGGCAAAAGGAAAAGAGGAAGGCCAAGGAACACATTACGCCGAGAAATAGAGAAAGATATGAGAAGAATGAACAAACATTGGACAGAACTGTAACAGAAACTGGTGGGCGGCCTATGCTCCTCTATTGAGGGAACAGGCGTAAGTAACTGAGTAAGTTGTACTATGCTTTACATTCTGAAAAAACTCCATTTGTAGCAATCGAAACTATAGGAAGTTGGGTTGAATGGCAATTTTTAAAATATCTCTCTCTTTTGATTTTAAAAAAAATTATTCGCCAGCTGTCATTAAATTTAAAGAAATTAATTAATTAATTTTTCTTTGATATTGACTTTAATTTTTTTCCTCTAGGTAAATTACTCAATCTTTAGAAAAAAATACAAATTAAACTGTCTATATATTTTTTATGTTTTAGAAAACAAATAATATTTAAATTTCTTGGGGCACAGTTTTGGAGGTTTGCATTTTTACACATTTGAAATCACGAATCAATCATTGTTAGACCTAGATCCCTAGATCAATCAGAGTTAGATATTAACACCGTTGGATGCCGGCCCAGTGGTCCCATGGTAAGGCGTTCGCCTACAACCCCAAAGGTCCTGGGTTGGAATCCTGCGAGGAGCAGGAGTCGTGGATGCGCACTGCTGATGAGTCCCATACCAGGACGAAACGGCCGTCCAGTGCTTCCAGGTTTCTAATGGTGGTCTGTCTAACAATGATTGATTGGTGATTTCAAATTTAAATTTCACTGAAATCATGAATCGATCAATGTTAGACCACCATTAGAAACCATGGAAGCACTGGACAGTGGTTCCATCCGAGTGTGGGACTCATCACCAGTGAGCATCCACGATGCCTACACATAGGAATCCAAGGCAGGACCTTCACCTCTAAAGCAGTGAGTTAGCATCCAGCGGTAATAATGTCTACTTTTAACCAATCCATGATACTATGTAACTTCAACCAATGTGTTCGGTCGGTGACTACCTCCTGACACTCCTCAACACGGTTGAACTTCATCACTCACGATGCCTAGTCACTAGTGAGCTCCTGTATCTGATTCCCATTATCGAGGACCGTGGATTCGCAGTGCCGATGTTTCCCATATTAGGATGAAACGACTGTCTATTCGTTTCAAGTTTCTTTCTAATGATAGTTTAACAACAGTCGGTCGATTCATGATTCCAAAGGAAACTCAACCATCTCCACAATTCTATCATAAATATGTTTAAATTACTCATAATCTATCTGCATCCATCTTGATGAACATGTTTAAAACAAAGTGTAAAAAAAATCAAACTGTTGAATAAAAATCACATTTTCCTCAATAAGAGCAAATCTACACAATTAAGTAATTCAACCAATCCAAATCAACTTTATCAACACAATAACCAATCAAAATTTGAGTACAAAATTCAAAATGCAACAAATTGAATTTCGTCAAAAAAAAACAGAAAATAAACAAGAGCAAACGAGATTAGACTAACACCGATTGGTTTAAATTATCATTATTATGATTAGCTGACAAATTCTCAATCAGAAAAAAAATATCAGAATTTTCCCATGATTTTTAACTATTCAAATAAAAATTTTTATTATTATTTTATTTTTAATGTATTTAATTCATATCTTTTACAATAAAATTTATTTTTAAATGATAACCGAAATAATGTTGACAATTGAATTCCCGCCGAAAATCAATGTGTTCAATGATCAATTTGACAATTTAAACAAAAAATAAATAAATATCCAAATATGTTATTATTATTATCATTGTATTATCAAAAATTATTGAAAATTTTATGTATATTATTATTGTTACTATTATCATTATCGTATTATGAATTCGTCAGTGGTACACTCAATAATGCAATTGTTGTAACATTTGTCATTGAAGAAAATGCTTCAATTGGTTCAGAAGTTGGACGAATTAATTTAGAAAATAGTCATACTACTACTACTAATATTAATAATAATAACAATATTAATAAACAAAATCAATCATACAATCATTTAACATTCACACTACAAGATACTACATATTTTAATTTTGATACAATGATTCCGAATAAATTAATTGTTTGTAAACCATTGGATAGAGATTTAGACAGGAAATTATGCATGGAAAGTGGTTGGCCCGAGATATGCGCATGGTCTAGCGTGATATTCGTGAATGATGGCCGTTTATTAAGTTTACGTATTGTGATACGTGATGTAAATGATAATATACCGAAATGGCCAACAAAAGATCATGATGATGATGATGATGATACTCTCGATACTAATCAAACCGCATCTGATCAATCAATATTGGAAGTATGGATTACTGAGAATTCACCAATCGGTTCAATTATCGATCTACCATTAGCTTATGATCCAGATATTGGTGAGAATTCAATTGTAAAATATGAATTTGCTAATATAAAAAATGAACAACAGAATGCTAATACTACTGATCAACTTGACAGCAGATTATTTCAAATTATCAATTTACCTAGTCCAAATGGATTAATTTTTCAATTAATTATTAATGGAATGTTAGATCGTGAAACAGTATCGATGTATCAATTCACTGTAGCAGCTGTTGATGGTGGTGGAAATCGTGGCTATGCAAAATTAATTATACATGTTGCTGATGAAAATGATAATCCGCCAATTTTTGAATTTTGCGCCAATCATCATCAGAATAAGAAGAAGCAGAAAAACAATATGAACAAAACAGAATTGATCATTGGACAATCATCATCATCATCAGCATCATCATGTGAAATCACTGCTAGTATCGATGAAGATATTCCAGTGGGTAGTGTATTGCCAGTGCATTCTAAGGCGAATGATGCAGATGAAGGTGAATTTGGTCATGTGACTTATCGATTCGCTTTGTCAGCTCCTGATGTAGCAAGAAGAGATTTTAAAATTGATCATGAAACTGGTGGAATCATAGTGCGAATGCCGTTGGACTATGATACTGGCGGGTTGACTCAATATATATTTAGTATTGTTGCTGAAGATGCTGGTCAACCCCCGTTATCTGCTACAATACGTATTATCATTAATATTCAGGATAAAAATGATAATTCTCCACAGATTACAATTACACCATCATTGATATTTTATCGTCAAAATCAAACAACCGCCACAACCACCACAACAACTAATCTAATCGATTCAACGAAATCCACTTCATTACGTTTGATTGAAAACACACCAGCTGGGGCGCTGATCGCCACAATCACAGTGTATGATTCAGATTCAGATGAGAATGGTAAATTCACATGTGTATTAGGTCAAACTGATGAATTGAATTTGATTTATTTAAGAAATTTAGGTAAAATTAGTGTTTATCAATTAAGTTCATTACGATCAATTGATCGTGAATTACAACCGGAATTACGTGTTAGTCTGCAATGTGAAGATCATGGATTATTGATTAAACAAAAAACAATTGAATTATTAACTATTTATATATTGGATATAAATGATAATTCACCAAAATATACAAATAAACGATATAGTTTTCAAGTAAGTTAATAATCTTTTTTTTGTCATTGTGAGTTATACTATTTAATTGATGTGTAAGTAGAGGGATACTAAGAGCTCTTCTTAACTTGGATCTCACTCAGATGGTTGGAAAAAATGAAAATTTCGATATTGAGAAAAGGGGCAAAAGGGTAATAACAGTGTGTATGAGTCCATTAGCATGCAACTGAGCTGTATCTCATACTCTCCGATGCCATACTATCAGTATACCATTTGCTTTATTGCTGCCATATAGAGCTGAAGGTTTCCTATGAGACCAGACGTTCTTTATGATGAACATTGTGGATGGCTTGATATTACTTTAGCAAGTATTGGCTAACAGGGTGACTGATTTCATGAATAATAGTGGTGTAGTGAAGGAAAACACAGGTGACGGCAACCGAATTGTATTTAAGCGAAAATTACTGAGTTACTCACTCAGTAAAATCGGAAAACCATATCGTAGATGGTTAGTTTGCAAAATATCAGTTCATCCTATCGAACTAGACTGTTCCTGTTGCAAACAACATCAATCCATTGTCACTCACTATTCATGCATTTCATACAAATTCCATTGTGTTCTTCTAACTCTTCCTTTCTTGATCTTCCCCCCATCTTCTGCTGCCAGACATTACGTTGACACTCACGTCATATACTACTTATAAGTAGCTCGCACCACAGCACCACAGAGGGATACTAGAGCCCTTCGAAACTTGGATCTCACTCAGATGGTTGGAAAAATAAAAATTTCGGTATTGACATGAGGCAAAATAGGGTAATAACAGTGTGTTTGAGCCTATTTGCATCAACCTGAGCTGTATCTCTTGTTTTTCTATGGCATACTCTGTCTATATTCCATTTGCTATATTGCTGCTATATAGACAGAGCTGAAGGTTGTTTCCTATGAGACTAGAGGTTCGTTTGTGGGCATTGTGGATGGTTTGGCGTTACTTTTAGCAAGTATTGCCTAGCAAGGTGACCGAAATTATGAATAATGGTGGTGTACTGAAGGAAAACACAGGTGGGGCAACCGGAGTTACTCAGTAAAATTGGAAAACCATATTGTAAATCGTTCATTTGCAAAATATCAGTTCATCAATCCAACGGACTGGACTGTTCCTGTTGTAAACACCACATCAATCCATTGTCACTCACTATTCATGCGTTTCATACAAATTCCATTGTGTTCTTCTAACTCTTCCTTTCTTGATCTTCCCCCGCATCTTCTGCTGCCAGACATTACGTTGACACTCACGTCATATACTACTTATAAGTAGCTCACACCACAGTGGTAGTTTTGCAACATTCACGAAGGCCATTGTATTCGGCGTGCTTTCTGTACTACATATCACCATTGCTAAAATAGTAAAGAGTTTAACAGTAGTCATGTAAGCCGAATGGGTTAAAAATTGGCTTGTTCATGCTGTGCGTAATCGATGGACACGATCATGGATCAGAAATAACCACTATATATATATATGTACTAGTGTATATAAATGGTTTGAATGGTCCACCATGGTGTCAGGTACCTCCTCTATGTAGTTCCACCACAGTACTCAACCGGACTGTTCACGTTGTAGGGTTAACACGTGAGCAGTTTCATGTAAAATTACCTTTGCCAATCGAGAGAGTGAATTTGTTTAATAAACTGTAATGTTCTCCCAGATATTCATTTGAATTTGAACTGAATTCTTAGAGTTAAGTTTTATTCTAAGATTTTAAGTTAATACCTTCAGATTATGTCTTTAATATATCATTTACTACTGAACTATTATTGTGTTAAACTCACCAAAAAAAAACACCCGTTTTAATTATCTGATTACAAAAATGTAATGGTTTTACAGACTCTGATGTCAAGTAGATGACAAAAACAGTGTTTGAAATTTTAAGTACCATGTAAAAAAATCCAAGTGTAAACATAAACACTGTAATGTTTAGGGGTATTTTCTAGCTGATAAGTTCGGAATAGCATCGAAAACATGTATCCTGAAGTTAACTATTTACATATTTTGAAATCATAAATAGGTCAATGTTAGTTAGACCAGACCATTAGAAAACCTGGAAGTACTGAGAGAGATGGCCGTTTCATCCTGGTATGGGAGGGACTACTCATTATCAGTGGCAGTGTGCATCGACTGTGGTGCTGTGGTGCGAGCTACTTATAAGTAGTATATGATGTGAGTGTCAGTCAACGTAATGTCTGGCAGCAGCAGAAGATGGGGGAAGATCAAGAAAGGAAGAGCGCAGAACACAATAGAATTTGAATGAAACGCATGAATAGTGATAATGGATTGATGTTGTTTGCAACAGGAACAGTCCAGTTCGATATGATGAATTGATATTTTGCAAATGAACGATTTACGATATGGTTTTCCGATTTTACTGAGTAACTCTGTAATTTTCGTTAAATACAATTCGGTTGCCCCACCTGTGTTCTCTGTCGCTACACCACGACTTCTGTACCAAGCAGGATTTGAACCCAGGACCTCTGGTCAAGCGCGCATGAATGCCTAACCTTTGAACTACCGAGCCGATATTAGTTCTGTGAGAAGTTTTTTTTTAACAAAAATCATGCATTTTTTTCAAATAAATTCTTTCTCAAAATAATCCTTAGTTGTATTTTTGCAACACACCGACTATTTAGACATTTTATTTCTCACATTTTTTTTTTATAATTTACTTGTCTATAAACTTTCCAGTGTGTGTCATGCATGTTTCTTTCTCATAATTTTATTACTTAAAGAAATTTATTTTTTTTACACATTTGAAATCATCAATCAATCATTGTTAGACCACCATTAGAAACCTGGAAGCACTGGACGGCCATTTTGTCCTGGTATGGGACTCATCAGTAGCAGTGCGCATCCACGACTCCTGCTCCTCGCAGGATCCCAACCCGGGACCTTTGGCATTGTAGGCGAACACCTTACCATTGGACCACTGGGCCGGCCGGCATCCACCGGGTGTTAATATCTAACTCTGATTGATCTAGGGATTTTGCGCAACCTCACCCATTTGTCTTTGATTGTAGTTACTGCCTACACTCGACAGGGTTGAACTCATTCACTGGTCACGTCTTCTCAACTAGAACTGCGAGAATTTCCTCACGAAGCTAGTCAGTCACTAGTGAGCACTGTTACGATATTTTTTGGGGCACAGTTTTGGAGGTTTGCGTTTTTACACATTTGAAATCATCAATTTATTTTTTCTCTGGATGTTATTCTGTTATTTTGTATGGGAATATTTCTATCATTTTTTAATATTAGATGACAAGGAAACATTTAGTTATTTATACGACTGATTACCTACTTATCTACTTACTTACTTACACCCGTTGCTCCCAATGGAGCATAGGCCACCAACAAGTATTCTTCAGCCTACATTGTTGTCCTGGCCCCCCCCGTTACAGTCCTATCCAATCACTGTTCATTCTTCTCATGTCTGTCTTCATTTCTCTGTGTAATGAGTTCCTTGAACTTCCTGTCTTCATTTAACCTTGAGGATTGAAAGTAAGGGCTTGTCTTGTGGCGCATTTGGGTGCTTTATATGTAATGTGTATCGTATCCATCACTTCCGGCGCTTCTACCCGAAGCCTCTCTGGGGCTAGTGCCGGTTACAATCCTGAGAGTCAACATCAACTATCATTATTATTATTATTATCAGTATGAATACACCACTTGAATGCTAACTTATTATGACGAAGTTTCACTCTTTCAGTTAGATGATGTAATCTCACCCTGCATCATATTAATTATCGATTGACACGAAATGTTGTGACTTAATTCGTAATAATTAAAATTATGAATTTAACCAATGATAAATAAACCATTAGAAAGAAACCTGGAAGCACTAAAGGGCAGTTTGACTTATCAGCGAGTGCACATCAGTGATCCCCGCCTGAGGGAATCGAACCCGGGGGCCTGACTTGTGATTAGTTTCGTGAAGAAATTCTCATAGTTTTAGTGAGGACCCATGATCAGTGGAGTTCAACGATGTCGAGTGTGGAGCAGTCATCCACTAAACACAATCGGGTGGGGTGGCACAATATATCATCGGTTGGTTGAAGTTAGACATAACACTGTTGGATACCGGTTCAATGAACTAGAAAGGCTAAGCGCTCACACGTCAGACAGAATGTTTTGAGTTGGATCCCTGTGTATGTAGGGGTGAAGGATGCACACCTTCGATGAGTCACATACTAAGACGAAGCGGCCTTCCAATGGTTTCAGGTTTCTGTCTGTTGGTCATCTAACATTGATCTTGACAACCCTACAATGACAATTTTTAATCAGAATCGATCAGTATTAAATCACCCATTAGAAACCTAGAAGCACTGGAAGGTGGTTTCGTCCCGATGTGAGACTTGTCAGCAGTGCTCATGCACGACTCCTGCTACTCATAGGGTTCGAACCCAGGACCTTCGATCTTGTACATGAACGTTTAGCCTCTGGACCACTGACCTGGCATGAAACTGTGTTAATGTCAAACTTCAATCAGTCAAAGACTTGACAATTGTGAATCTACCTAATCCGTCCGTCCAAGTGGTGATGATATTTACATGGACAAATGAACTTTACACCATTCAATTCAATCATGAATGTCACATAGCAAAATAACCATTCATTATTGTCTGACTTTGAATAAACCACACACACAAAAAATGCATTGAACATTTGAAAGTGTTTTTCTGGCGTCTTATTTACATTTTCAGTATAAAAAAATTAAACAATGTTTACTTAAATGCACCAACCTAGTAGAGATTTCTTTCCAAACAAATGGGTTTGATTAATCTAACTGTAAATGCGATTGTTACAAACTAGTGTCGTATGTTTCATGTTAGAATAAAATAACTGGTGAAATAATTTTTTGCTGTTAATTAATTTTCAACAGTTTTCCGATCGATATCAGTTGTAGATACAAACTATCGATTATGTTTTGTATAAAAATTTGTTTAAAGTTTATGGTGTTTATAAGTGATCAAAGAAAGGTATTCGGTAAAAGCA